TTTTTTAATGTTTTTGCTATAGGGTGAGTGAGCTGGCCAGAGAGAGACAGGGAGAGGGAAAATGAGAAATCCCCTCCATGGGGGATGGCCATGCCATAATCCCTTCCCTGCATTTTCTTCTCAGGATTTTGGGCACACATGCACCCAGCGTGATTTATTAAGCCACAGGGTCCAGGACTCAAACCATGGTCAGCCATGTGGGAGTCCAGTGCCTTAACCACTACCATCACTTGCTGGCCCCTAGAATCAATTTTTAAAACACTAAGTAACTAAGTATTGACGTTCAAATGAAAGAATCTCATCAAATTCCTGTTCAGAAAGCACGAGCATATGTAACCCAGGTGGGCTATCATGTGCTTCCCTGGAGCAAATGTCAGCCCTGAATAAGGAGGATAGGTATGAAAACAAATCCTTCTAGTTCTTCACCCTGACTCACTCATTCCGGACAAGTAAGAATTCTTGAAAAATTCTGATTTTTCTGTCTTCTTTAATGGTTCTTGCATTTTTTCTTAATAATCTGACTGTTCTCTTACAGCTGTCCATCAACCCAGTATAAACAAACGCATGTTAACAGTAATAATGTGGGCTAGCTGGTGGCGTGGTGGTTAAAACAGCTGGATCCCACATGGCCAAGTGCAAGGTTTGAGTCAGACCTGAAGGTTCAAAAAACATACCAGGTGTTTGTGTGCACATGTCCAAAATCCCAAGGAGATAAGGAGGAAAAGGAATTGCAGCATAACTATCCCCCCTTAGGGGATGATTTCTCCCACTCCCTCTCTATCTGGCAAGCCCATGCGCCCTATAGAAAAATTAAAAATAATAATAATGATGACAATGGTGTGTTACAGCCTATAATAGAAACTGAACAAATACCTGAGATTAACAGGATGGGGCTTTTCTTCAGTCATTTCTCTCAAGCCAGCCCTACACGTACTTCAGGGAAACTTCTCTCAAGAGGCTGTCCTTGCGATAAGAGAAGATGCTGGCGGAGGGGCTTGGATAAACACCCAAAGTTGTAGGAAGTCACTGTGCTCTTCCCACTCTGATTTTACTAGCCTGAGGTCACCGGGAGCTGGACGTCTGCCACCTCGGCCACTATGAATAATACTACAGCTCCACTTCAGCCCAGTGAAGAGGCACCCTTGAAAGGCAGACTGTATACAAATGCACTATGAGAAGCTTTGCTAGGCAGGATTTGCTGAATCGTGGGCCATTAGGCTGCAGCAACCAGTGGAAGATTCTCCGTTTTCGTAGTTTCAGAGAAAGGAAGAGTCCTTGTTCTGACTGTGCTAAAGACATAGAGACTTTTAAAATTAGAGATTACCATAACAGATCAATAATATTCCAGACACAGGGATACATCCACGAATTAATTCTGCACATCACGACCACCCATGCAGATGAACCCAAGGGGCACCATGCCAACTGAGCCTGCGCACCAAAGCTGTCATTCCAGTGGCACTACTTTTTTTTTTTTGGAGAGGTTTTTTTCTATAGGACTTGTGCACTCGCCAGAGAGACAGAGAAAGAGAGACAGAAAGTGAAAAATCACCCCCACAGGCAGGATGACCACGCTGCAATCCCTTCTCCTCCATTCTCCTCTCAGGATCTTGGGCACGCACACACACACATGTCCGGTGTGAGTTTAAGCCACCAGGTCTGGGGCTCAAACCATGGTCAACTACATGGGAGTCCAGCGACATAGCCATTACGCCAACTGCTGGTCCCACAACCTTTATTTTTTAAGAGAGACTTTTTGCTATAGGGCGTGTACACTCACCAGAAAAACAGAAAGCAAGAAATCACCTCCTACAGGGGATGACCACACTGCAATTCCTTCTCCTCCATTCTCCTCAGAATTTTGGGTACACACACCCAGTATGAGTTTTAAGCCGTCAGGTCCAGGACTTGAACCATGATCAACTACATGGGAGTCCAGCAACGTAACCCATTAGGCCATCTGCTGGTCCTTGAGGCACGGCTTTTAACCCAGTCACCAAATAGTAACTTTACAATACAAAGTTCTATAATGCACAGTATTCGCATCACCTGTTTGTTGCTGTCACGTTTCTTCAAAAAAGAATCAATACCATGGTCAACTAGTGCCAATTAAAATTTATAGACGGTCCTGCAAGAGCTGCTTACAATTGAAACACCTTCAAGCATGGAGGACAGGCCTCCACTCCTCTGGATGCTATGTGTGGTTCCACAGTGGGTAACATGCTTCCAGTTTAATTTCTGTTGTGGGTGGTGAGAATACTATAGTGGCAAGACTACACCGACCTGGCCAAAAGCCTCCTCTTAATCTGATCTTTCTGTCCTTTTTGCCCTTACTGCACAAGTTGTTTCCACCCCCTAGGAGGTCCTAGTCACCCTTCACCTGAGCACCACCTCGCTCTCCTGATCACCCTTCACCTGAGCACCCCTAGCTCTCCTAAGTTCCCTTCTACCTGAGCACCACCTCGCTCTCCTGATCACCCCTCACCTGAGCACCCCTAGCTCTCCTAAGCTCCCTTCCACCTGAGCACCACCTGCCTCTCCTGATCACCCTTCACCTGAGCACCACTGTGCTCGCCTGATCACCACCTGGCTCTCCTGATCACCCTCCACCTGAGCACCACCTTACTCTCCTGATCACCCTCCACCTGAGCACCACCTGGCTCTCCAGATCACCCTTCACCTGAGCACCACTGTGCTCGCCTGATCACCACCTGGCTCTCCTGATCACCCTTCACTTGAGCACCACCACCTGGCTCTCCTGATCACCCTCCACCTGAGCACCACCTTATTCGCCTGATCTCCCTTCACCTGAGCACCACCTCACTCTCCTGATCTCCCTTCCACCTGAGCACCACCTCGCTCTCCGGATCACCCTTCACCTGAGCACCACCACCTGGCTCTCCGGATCACCCTCCACCTGAGCACCACCTTACTCGACTGATCTCCCTCCCACCTGAGCACCACCTCATTCTCCTGATCACCCTCCACCTGAGCACCACCTGGCTCTCCGGATCACCCTTCACCTGAGCACCACCACCTGTCTCTCATGATCACCCTCCACCTGAGCACCACCTCATTCTCCTGATCACCCTTCCACCTGCGCACCATCTCATTCTCCTGTTCACCCTCCACCTGAGCACCGCCTGGCTCTCCTGATCACCCTCCACCTGAGCACCACCCCACTTCCAGCACCAAACCTTCCCCAGGCGCACCATTTCTAAATCAGCCTATGGTTTCCTTCACTAGACTACAGACTCCCGCACCATTATTTTAGTAGCTTTCTATTCCCAGCAGAGGAGCTCAATGCTCAGTTTGTGGAATGAATGAGTGAACGATTCCAACCCAAGAAATTAACACATTAATTTCCATTAGTGGAAGCTCCATAACCCTAAGTGCTGCCTGCAGTCTAGAGATTCCTTACATTCACAAGGAGCCTGAACTAGCCAGTCTCTAACTGACTGAAGTCTGAAACCCTACAATCTCCTTAAATTGTAGGTGGGGACACGGGAGTGTAAGGGAAAGGGAAATAGGGACAGGGCTACATCATTCCTCCTTCAGAAAAGGTGCGAAACCGCTTAGAAATATTCAAAACCAGATTTCTAGGGATCAAGTGGAGAAAGAAAGAGTAATACTCAGAACTTTGAAATTTTGCGGTGGGAACCTGGTCTTAAATTATGTGGCCGCAGGTTTTCCCCTGAGCCAGCTCGACCACCTAAGTGGGTGCCAAGACGCCCAAGAACTGGGTGACACAGCTGGGGCCTAGCGGAGGTCACGGACACTCCTCTCCCTCCCAAGATCCTGTCGCGTGGGGGCAGAGAAAGGATCACGGAGTTGCATCCCGCTCCCACTGGAGAGATAACAACGTCGCTCGTCTTGCATCCCCGGCCCACAGTCTCAGTCCCTCTAGCTGCCCTTTCCAGGCCCCTCGTCCATTCCCAAAACGCAGAAGGGAAGGGAAAGGAGGGGGCGAGGGTGTGGGTTTAACCACCAACTCTCCAGACAGCGCTCACCCTCCAGCTTATTCTCCAGGTCAGCTGTGCGCCCAACCGCTGGCAACTCACGCAGCGAAATAAAACCCTTGCGGCCCGTCCCGGTCACCTCGCGCCCCGCTGCCCTGCCAAGCGTCCCAGGCGCCACTCGCAAGCTGGCGTTGCCAGCGTTTGCCCAAGTCATCTGCGGGGCGCCGAGGCTAGGCGGCCCCAACCTCCGGCCGACTCCCTCGCCCGGGGCCGGGCTTACCTGCTTACATGGTCCCCGTCGTGCCTAGAGTCCCGCGCCGAAAGGCTGACCTCGGTGGCGGCGGCCGAGCCCCAATTCCCCACGGAATCGACTCCAGTGGCTAGGGCGGAGGGAACGAGCCAGAGGAGGCGAAAGAGGAGGGAGGTTTCCGCTGCGATCCCGGCGCGAGATCCGCGCAGGGGCGCACCGGGGAAGGGGGAAAGGAGAAAAACCTGCGCGCGGGGTGTCCCGTCCGAGGGGGCCCAGGCCAGCAGGCCAGGACTGTGGACAAGGTGGAAGGGGAAGGACCGCCAACGGCCACTTCGCTTCTACGGCTCCCCCAGGAGCCGCGCCCCGGGCGGGGGGAGGCGGGG